CCAAGTGCTGGGATCACAGGTGTGCGTCACCAGGCCCAGCAGAGACTGAGTTTTGCTTCTGCCCCACGGTACAGAGGCCACTGAAGGCAGGGGTGCACTTTTCTCCTGGTTAATCAATCACACCAGCTGCACTGAGACAGAACTCAATGCTCCCACTCCAGGGGTGTCCGGGGCAGAGCCTCGGCCCTCACCGCAGTCAGGCCAGCATACCCTTATCATCGCCCCACTCACCCGCACTGCTTCCTGGGGGTCCCCGACTGCCGCCTGCTGTCCTGCCACTGGCCTTGCATGCGCAGTGTCTGCTGCTTGTTTGCAAGGGGTTTCCTGCTTCGTCTGCAAACAGGAGTTACAGAGGGGATGCATCAGGGTGCCGCACTGGCCAGAAATCTACATGCCCTTCCTTCCTGTCACCAAGGAAACAGGGCCAGCGTGTGGCCGGTACAGATGTGCCAGCTAAACAAGCACGAACCACTGTTTTATAGGAGAGCAGAGTGAGACTGAAGCTCAGCTACCTGCCGAGGAAAGGAAGCCGGCAGTGGCCGTGCTGCGATTTAACCGCTCCCGCGTTCTTCCCGCTCTGCCACGTGGACCGGGTGTTCAGCGGGCAGAACAGGACTGTGTCCCTGCGCCCTCCTCCTGCCCTGACCTTGGATGAAGCTGATGAACATCTCCAGGTCCCGGATCTGGGTCTTCAGCTGCTCCACCAGCTGCTCCTTCACTCGGGCTGGGTTCACAATCTGCGTCACGGCCGCATCCACACGCTGGCGGAGCTCCTCGGGGGACAGCGAGCCGATGTCCTCATGCAGGTCCATGTCCAGTTTCTTTATTAACTCGTCTATGATCACCTGCCAAGACCGTGGCTGTGAGCACACCTCTGGGGTGTCCAAGGAGACAGCGGGGAGCTTTCTTCTGCTTTTCGTTTTTATTTTTTTGAGACAGCGTCTCACTGTGTAGCCCAGGCTGGCCTCAGACTCATCCTACTGCCTCAGCCTCCCAAGTGCTAGGACTACAAGTGTGTGCCAGCCTGTTTTTTTTTTTAAACAGTTTCATTGGTCCAGGCACTTAGCTCAGTGGTGCTGCTGCCTGCCTTGCAAGTGCAAGGTCCTGAGTTCAATCCCCGGGACCGAACAACAAAGTCTCCCTAGGTTACCCAGGCTGCCCTTGAACTTGCCATCCTCCTGCCCAGCTGGGATCGCAGGTGCATAGCACTGCACCCGCTGGAAGGGATCTCACCTAGGCTCCTGCTCCTCTCCCAAGGGAACAGGAGCCCTCCACTCCTCCCTGAGAAATCGCTGCTCTCAATGCAAGTTCTTATGCTGGGCTACTCAGGGATACTGTGAGTGACCTACAGTGGCTAATGATCTAGAAAGCCTCGCATTTACTTTCTCTAAAGGGTTCCAGGAGAAGCCACGTTGGAAGGCCAGACTGTAACTCCTGGGCTGCAGTGAGCCTCCTGCCTCAGCCTCCCGAACAGCTGGAATTGCAGGCATGCACCTCTGTGCCCAGCCAGAATGCCTTCCTACTTTCTGGTCCTTCTATCTCTTCTTGCCCAACTCTAGACAACTAAAGGAAAATCTCTAGAGAGCACCAAGGCATACTGTAGCCAAAACATTCCTGTGCCATCAGGGCCTGAAAACCCATCTCCCATGTGTGACGGGAGTCTCCCCCAGGGCTGGCCTGGCCAAGGGCTTCTCTGAAGCTTCTCAGGAGGGGCTGGCGCACCCGCTGTCTCTCCAGGACCATGGCCTGTGGCAGGGAGTCGTAACTGCCCTCCTGGTAGGCGAACGTCTCCAGGTCATCCAGCTGGGTCTTGAGCTGCAGGATCAGTTCCCTCTGCTTCTCCCGATGGGTTTCCAGGCGCTGCCGTCTATCCTGCTCGCTCTGAGAGGAGAATGGAGCTATTTACAGAACGGGCTGCACTGGCACATTAAGAACTGCCTAGCCTGCACATGGCCCTGGGTTCAGCCCCAGCACTGGACAGATGGACAGAATGCTCAAGTAATCCTGTAATGATCATGAAACACTGTTTCTAGATCATCCAGACAAAACCCTCCACTCATGAGATAGGTTCATGAGTAGGAATGATTTGGGTTTTTTTTTTTTTTAAAAAAAATAGGCTCTCCCTATGTAGTTCAGGCTGGCCTTGAACTCACTATGGAGCCCAGGCTGGCTTAGAACTCACAGTGATCCTCCTGTCTCAGCCTCCTGAGTGCTGGGATTACAAGTGTGCGCCACCACACCTGCTGAATGTTCATTTCTTACATGTTTATTTTCTTTAAGAAAACATCTGTCCTTCATTGGGAATTGGATCTAAGTACAATGGGGCCTTTTGTTAAGACTGTTTTCTGTTTTTCAAAGGTCTAGTTAGGCCAGAGAAAATTGATCTTAGCCAAAACAGCCTCCCAGGAATGAAACATGGCACCCACTCCTCAATACTTTGTGTAGTCAAATTCTACAAAAGTGGGCTGGGGATGCAGCTGACTTGTAGAATGCTTGCCTAGTGTGTGCAAAAAACGGGGGGAAAAGGCATTTTCAGGTATAAGCCTGCATTTGAAACTATAAGTCTATACGGTATTAAAGTTAACCTTAAAATGGTACTCACCAAGCCCTCCAGAAGTAAGGTATGAGAGAGAACAAACAAAACACAAGTTAACTTTCTGTTCACATCTAAAAAGCAACCCTATGGCTTTCGTTCTGCTCTGCATGAAAACATTCCTCTCTTAGGGTGCCCCCCCCGGCCCCTCTGTCAGGTTTTTCTGGGAACCCTGTCCCCATTCTACACCCAGTAAGGGCGTGGCTCTGTTACAGGGCCCTCACTGTCTGTGGGTGCATGGATCACTTCCTCCTCGCACTTGTACACTTCCAACCATCAGATTGCACCACAGTCTCTGTTCCCGATTCCGTCTGCACCACTGACCAACTCCTCTGGGACTTGGCCTTGACCTTGAGTTCCCAGTGCTTAGGGCAGGGCCTGGTACAGGGCAGCTCTCAGTACATATTTGTTGTGTGACACTGAACTAGATTAAACTTCAAAGGCTGAACTCTGATCTGAGGAAGTCACCGGGTCAGCCCAAGGACAGAGAGCTGGGGAAAGGGTCTTGGTTTTGTTTTCTTTGTACCCCAGGCATAAATCCCGCTTCTGTTTCCCTGAAGACTCCTCAATGCTGTCACTTGTAACAAGAGTGAGAGGGACAAGCTCAACAGGAGGAAGAGATGCCATTGCCAGTATAGACTGAGCTAAGGGAAAGCCTCTGTTAAGGAAGTGGCGAGGAAGCTATGGGGAAGATTCAGAACTAAAGCATTGCACTGTTACTGAAAGTAAAAATGAACAATAAAAAACAAAAAACCACACCACATCCACACAGAACCTTTGGCACTGTCTGCTCCTGAGCAGGACCTGTCCACCCTAATGCCATGGCACCTAGGCTTTTGATTTTGAGACAGGGTCTCACTATGTAGTTCATGGTGCCCTTGAACTCACTATGGAACCCGAGCTGGCCTGGAACTCATGGTGATCCTCCTGTCTCAGCCTCTTGAGGGCTGGGATTATAGGTGTGCACTGCCATGCTGGACTACGGTTTCTATCTTTAAGTGTGGCCATTTGAAGTGGCCCTTCCTGTGCAAGGGGCTTGGGTCTGTGGAGTGAAGGGTGGAAAAGTAAACACAGTTGCTTTGGAGCACCTGGAGGGAGAAGGCAGCTGCATGTAGGTTGTAACTTGGAAGAATGAAACTGAAAAGCAGCAGGTCTCAATCTCACAAGCTATCCACACCCTGCACTTACAGGGATTTAAAGCCTGTAAAGAAACAACTTCTTGGTGTGGTATCAGAGTTTCACTATGGTTAGGAAATTCATACAATCAGGAGACCTTTTGATTACTAAGAGACCATGTTGATGGCCAAAACTTTGGCTCAGTTAAGAGAACATAAAGATTTAAAGGCTGCCCAGATTCTAGGAAAGCATGGGAACTAACCGAAATTTCCACGAGTTCCAACTCACTTTCACTTGTCAATTCTCCCCATCAGCAAAAGTGCACGGGGGAGTGGGCGTGCTCAGGGGCAGGTGCAAGGCTCTGGGTTCCACCCTCGCACCGGAAGTGCCGAGGACCTGGTACGTGATGTGGCATGGGACAAATAAACCGGAGTAGCTCGGTCTCCGTCGCCTTCTTGATGCTCAGCTGGCTTCCCGCTCCTCACATCCTCACTCAGAGTGCACGCGCGCCTCAGGTCACCCATTCTGCACACAGGATCCCAGGCCTCTCAGTCCACCTGTCCCCCGGTCTATCTCGGACACACCCAGGTCCATCCAGCCGGTGGCTTCTGC